AAATTCAATAAGCCGCCCAGGCCCTTGAAGACGGCAGGACTCGAACTATGACCGTTCAGCTGGGGCGATGGCAGCAGCTGCGACCGAGACAGAGGCTAAGCAGCAGGCCAATAAATAAAATTAATAGAAACTCACTCGAACAGCTCCGTCGGGCTGGCGCTCTTCGGCATCTGCAGGGACCAGCCTGGCAGGCTTTGCCGAAGCTTTCGTTTTATTATTTTGTTGACTTGTTGAATGGCCAGGCGTTAGCAACTGTTGAATGGTACTTAGCTGTCCTGCAGACGAGAAAACACCAGCCGCAAGTTCTAAAGTGATTTAAGAAAAGTAAAAATTTAAAGCAAAGCTGACTGAGCATTAAATTTATACATATGTTTTCAGCTAATCAGGGAGCAAGTGGGAAAATGTTGCTTTTATTTTATTGTTTGTCTTTCACTTCCTGCCAAGCTACGAAATTATATCAATTAGCCATTCGCCTGAGCTAGGAATTCCCACAGTTCAATCCCAATGTCTGAGTATTATTTGGCAATATAAGAGATTGGCTACATCTGCCACAGCGATTTCTATGCGCAATCCATTCGCCACGTTGCTGACCTCGCATTGAACTGCCATAAGAAATCACTCTGCCTGGCCGAAATTGCTTATGCGGCGGGCTGTGAGGCAAGATGTCTGCCAGATGCCGTACCGCCCACTTTTAACACTTGCCACAACAATGCAGCGCAAATATTTGCGGAACCCAGCGCCAGAGCCAGGCCTAAAGCCAGAGCCCGACCCCGAGCCCGAGTCAGAGCCGGAGCAAGACGTTGCCAGTGAGGAGATCAATGAGCGACTGTCTGTCTGGCTGACTAGCTGGCAGCTTCAATTTGAAATCCAATAAAATTTAATTGGAAACTTCATCACGGGTGCGAAAATTCACACTTGGCCTGGTCGGCCAGGTGGGGCTAGCATAGACGAGGGCAGAGTAAAGTCACGGGCACGACTTGGCTGCCGTTTGCCGTAAATCTCATGCACCTGGCGGCGACTGGAAACACCAACTCCAACTTCAACTGCAACTCTAGCTCGAGCTCGAGCTCCAACTTCGATGTCGGCTCTCTACGACGCATCGCGATAAGGAAATATTTTTCATATGAAAACGCTGCGCATGCGCCGGCTTATTGGTCCGTTTCGTTCCGTTATTGGCCATGGCTCAATGGCTTATTTATGTTTTTCCTTTAGCCATGCCATATCTTGTGGCATTGTCGACTTTAATCGCTTTGTTGCGCCAAAAGTATAACATGAAATTGGATTGATTTATGTTATAATTACAAAAGCAGGCGCATATCGCTGGCCAACAAAGAAACTGTGCCCCAAAGAAACTAAACCTAAACTCAACACCAGCCAAACAGCCCAATTTCACACAACAATACATATAATCACGGCAAAGAGAGCTCCACACGGAGGCTGTGCCTGCTTAGGAGGCCACTGAAAGCCTTCCAGAGGCCTGATTGTATACCCTGTTGCGGAAGGCGTCCAAAAGGCTTGCTTGTTTCTAGAGTACTGTAGCGATATTTTAATTTATGATTTGTGTGTTGTATGTTGAGGTGAATCCAACGAACTTAGTGAGCAAGCAAGGATTACTAATCGAGAGCTTTCCTCGCTAATTTAAAAATCCCGAGCAAGCATAGCACGTCGTAGAGAGGAAAGTATAGAGTATTGGCTTGCCAGAGCACTACTCTATACATTGCTTATGCCTATTCATGTGGACTGTAAGGTCCAAGAGCTACTCATTCAGCTGACTACTCTCCATGCCATACCATGCTTGCAAATAAAACACATCGATATTCCTATTGCATTATATAACTGTAGAATTTTGATGGCTCTGGCAGATTAACAGCACTCTACCAGAGAGGAAGTCAAAAGCTTTGTGCTATTTTAATAGGTCCAACCAAAGGCAATTAAATATTAAGTCTTCAGAGAAATGCTGGATTCTTTGTATCGTGCCAATCAAAGAGGGCGATCTATTGCGGCTAACCATCTTGGAGCTTAGCTATGGGATTACAGAGAGTTCTATTCTATGAAGTCCCACCAGTCCTTCTCGTAGCCCTCGCGCACATGGACAAGGAGAACGGTGCGCCGCTTACGACAATAGTGTGACAGATCCAGAACCTTCTGCTTCACCTCACACAGATTCTGAACAGTGATTTCGCGTTCCAGGCACTCAGATATCTTCTCTGTGGCCACTTCCATGTCGCGCTGGTTGTCCTCGAAGATGATCTTCTGGTTGTTGTTGCGCAAATAGAAGGCAAACACGTAGCTGTACATAAGCGTTGCCCGACACTGGCAGAGGACGTCGACGGCCTCCTTCAGGAACTGCACCTCGATCCAGCTCATGTTCTCCTGCATGTCGTTCATCTTGGCCTGTACATTGGCATACAGCTTGTGCTCCATGCGCATGCTCATCATGTGGTTCATGTATCGATTGTAGTAGTGCAAGTAGCGCGCCATCGAGGACCGGTAGCGCTCCTGCGCTTGCCTCGCCTGCTTGCCCTCCTCCTCGTCGAAGCGATTGCAGCTGTACCAGGACGAACCGTGCGGCTCCCAGGAGCCGAGGCACACCCAACAAAAGTCATAGCGGCAGGAGGGATTCTTGCACACCATGTGATTGCAGCCGCCGTCCTTCTCGATGGTCACATTGCACTTGGGGCACTCCTTGGTGTGTTGTGCGATCCAGTTGGACGTCTCTGAATCCTCGTTGTTCTTCTTCAGCCACCTCTTTAGCCAGGAGCAGCTGACAGGCTCGTGCCAGTTCTCCCCGCACCCAAAGCAGAATTCATGTCCGCACGCACATCGCACGGCTCGCGGCTCGCAGTAGCTGGCCTTGATGGCATGAGTGCAACTGGGTGCCGGACACCAGCGCATCAGAGAATTGCATTCCACAAAGGTGTTGGTGATCAGCTGCTGGTAGCGGGCAATCACCTCCGGATTGTCGGCCAGCTTGACAAATGACACATCATCGACCAGGATGTCGCAATCGGTTGCGGGACAGGTAATGCTGTGGGCCAGACCCTCGCTGCAGGTCTTGTTGCTCAGGTACTGTTTCCAGCAGGCGGCGCAAAAGGCGTGGCCGCAATCCAGGCCCTTCAGCTCGTCGCAGGGGCAGTAGCAAATGCCGCAGAGCTGCTCACGCCCGCTGACACCCGGAGCAGACTTGAGGCTGAGCTTCGATGGCGTTGCAAAGGGGTTCACAACGTGGGCGCGCCGGAAGAACTCCTGCGGGCTGCTCTCAAAGTACCTCTCGAAAAGCGTTTCCTTGTCCCATTTGTAGTGATTCAGTATGATTCGGGTGACCTGCGGCGACAGGTGCAGCACATTGTTGACCTCGTTAATGATGTTGCGTTGGTGCTGCACTATCTGATCCGAGGTGAGGACCGTGTACACGAACTCATCAACCTCGACGCTGCGCCTGGGTCGTTCGGGCAAATCGATTTCCGTGCAGGTGTCCTCATCGCTCTCCACACAAGTCATGAACGAGGATGGGCTGTTTACGATACGTTGTGAATCTCCGTGATCTTCATCCGAGTATTCGTCGTCAGAGTTCATATTCGAATTGAAATAAGAAAAGTTCAAACACTCATATAGCGGATTCTCGGGCTACTTTGATACAGTTGAACAAACGATCCACCTCCTCTCCAGTTAGCTGTTCACTTCTGCTAACCCTTGGCTGCTCCAACTGCCGGCTGGCCCTAGCCCTGCACTAGGCTGTCTGGTCGATAGTTTTGTGATTGTCTACGAGTCGGATAACTGCAGCATTCGTCCGACTGTTGGCTGCCACGAATTTGATTCAGAGTTGCTTTCGATGTAAGTAAATGTTGTGAGTTCTTCGTATTCCTACTGAAGACTGAATTCTAGGCTGACAAATTTATATTTTTCTCAATTTTTTTTTTGTTTCTTATTTTTCTTTAAATTGATTAATTTTGCCAGCCAAAGCTGCGAGCTTACTTCACAACAAATCGAGTCCGGAACTGAAACTGAATATGAACCAGTTCGCCTCTAACAGGATTTTTGCCATGACGTTGCAAATTAAATATATATATTTGTCTATGTTAATGAATGTTGCTGTCGATTGCAGACTGTAATCGAAACATATAACAGACCCAAATAAAAAAGTACACAAACATCGATTTGTATGTTTAAAGAAAAACACACATACAAACATAGTTTCCTAGCCCTGGCCACTGGTCAGTGCCCTGACAGAACACATTGAAACTGTTTCTACATATTGGAATTCCTAATCTAAGTCTACCAGCTCGCCATCGAAAATTTATTAATCCTTAACAAAGTCTAATGGAAGCGCTCGCAAAGTTCCCCAAGTAAAATGAACATATTACTATATATGTATGTATGTATGTATATACATTTTTAATATATAGCACCCTTCCATGGGTGCTAAAGTAAAATTATAATATTTAAAAAAAAACTAAATAGGCTCCTTTAAAATTAAATAACCTGTTAGCATATTTTTAAATGATCCAAACGTTGAAAACATTGCTAAAAGATAAATATTAGAAAATAATTTTATACATTATATTTTTTGAATATCTTTAGAATAATTCCTATTTACATAAATTCATATTGGCATTTCGTTCCACAAACAAGAACACATTAGGAGATTGGACTGTCAAATAACATTGTATTATTAGTGGAGATAGAAGTGACGTCAAATAAAATATTTTAATCGATTAGTGAATCATATGATTAATCGTGCCATCACTAGTAGCAACAAAAAGGAAGAAATAAATTGTCAGAGTTGCCGTTGGTTAAGAATTGATATATTCAGAGGCAATGCATTTAAAGTTGTGGCTCTTTCGCCTCTTGCAGTATATCAAAATGCATTTGATTTTTACTCAGTCGTTTCGGTACTCAGGACACTATGAAAAAAGCGCCTAAAAGCTTTTGGCGTATTCCATAACCATAACCCCTTCATTGTAGTGCAGAAGAGAACAAAGCAGTGTCTCAAGTGGCGAGGGTAAGGTACAAAAATTGCGATAACAACAACGGCGAAATGCGATATAAAAGTACAGTAGAGCTGCACACACATACAGTCCGAAAGCTAGAGAGAGAGACAGAGAGAGGAACGAGTATGCGAAATGAAAGTGAACGAGCGTACAAGGATGGCGGATGGCGGTGCGGGTAATGAGTGTGCATAATGCATATGCAGCAGGAGCAGCAGCAGCCATGCCCATTGAACGTGGCGAATGCCGCGAATGGATTCAATCTGCCTCTGCCTCTGCCTCTGCCTCTGCCTCGCTTTGCATATATGCACATACAAACTCAAATATAAATACAAATACAAGAGCACATGCATATGTATTTATGTGCACTCGTACTACGAACAGATTTTTAAAACAAAAGCCGACTGCTAACCCGCCAAAAGCAGCAGCAGCAGCAGCAACGAAAAGCATTACAAATAAAAATGCAAAGTCGCCAAATAGCAGCAGCAGCAGCAACCACAAATCCCTTTCATCAGCTCAAAAACTGAGACGAAGGGGAAAGTTGGCGGCGAACCCTTTCCATCTGCTTTTCAAGTCTCAGCCAAATTACAAGAAATCCTTTCGTGCGCGTGAATGCTTTGCAAAAAATAAAAAAGATGCAAAAAAAAAAAAAAAATGAAATAGAAATAAAAAAAATGAAACGAAAACGTAGCAAAAGCCGAGCAAAGAAATACGGAAAAGGAAATAATTTGACCATTTGCAGCAAATGCACAAAAACGAGCCGGCAAATGACAACAAAAGGCAGTCAGCCACATTGCCACAAGGGAGCTCGACTACGATGAGGGGGCCGAACTGGGGGCTGAGTGTGTCATGTCATGTGTGGGCAGCTTTTGGGTCGCTTGAGCATTGCACTGCAAGAATTTCTACGCTGCCAATGCAAATGAGGACGCGCCACTTGTTGGCCACGACTTTTTATCATTGACAATCGGGCAAAGGCTCTTACTCTTGGACTGGCTCTGGCTGTGGCTCTTGCTGAGGCGCAGGCTCTGGCCACGTCCGGCATTTACTGATGGTCAGCAACGATGGCCAAGTTCATGGCCCTGACGTGACCACGCCACGGCATGCCATGCCAAACGGCCAAGCCATCTTGGCCTGCCTGCTAGCTGATGATGACGATGACGCTGATGACGATGACGATGACGACGACGATGATGATAATGATGATGATGCCACTTGGCAGATAGGCCAACTCAGCGAACATCGTCGCATTTTTCTGCGCCTACTTTGGCACACAACTATTTGCGGTGAATTTTCTTGGGAAATGTTCGCTGCTAATGCGACTGGCCTCAGTTGCGTCCGGTTGTGCCACAGCAGCGGCCAACTGATTATGTCCAACTGCTCAAATTCACAGTGAATGCATAAGGATGTTCGCTTGAATCTTATGTAAATTAGCGAGCTAATTACAGCACACACACATACACTGACTCATTCACTCATCATTCAAAATAGAATAAAGCCAAACAGAACAGAACAGAACATACATACATATGTATGTGTGCTGATTGAGGCGATAAATGCGCCACATCGCATTATAATTACTGTTCATTGTGTGTATTCCGTATTCGGAACACTCTTTGTTTTTGCCCGGGCAAAATTAGCTGGAAATCAAGCAGCATGAAGCGCCACACACAAACACACGCATACGCCCATGTGCGGTCGCTTGCACGGGAAGAAAATCAGCGCTTGGAACTAATTTGTTTTTGATGCGACGCTTATAATAATATAGAAACAAATATGACTTAGATTTGAGCTGCGAGCCAAGATGAGTAATTGCTATAACAGTTCCAGCGCTCCAACAGGCAGCAACAGAATCAATTCCGTTGACCTTGGGGTTTGTGCTTGAATCGACTAAACGGGCTCTGGGTTCCGGTAGCCGTAGCCGAAGCGCCGATTCATATAATTAAAAATTTAATTTGAAACATTAGACACTGCTAGCCGAGATTTATTATGTTGAGTTATAATTTTTAACTGTAGACTTAATTTACAATATACGCGATGCGATCATTTATCAAACGTTACGGAATCTCTTCTCGCTGGGCTACATTCACCAAATGAATGGCTTAATATATTTATTAACATCTTTAAAAGGGGTACAGACTCGTATGTTTGAATCAAATCACAGACGTGAAGTGTTAACATTCAGAAACCATTATATATAGCTCTCTAAATCATAACTGCAATTTTTGATATCCATGAAAAAAATCAGAAATTGTATTTAATATAAACAAATAGGTATCTAGGTTTACAAAGCACAGTTGCATAATAAGTAGGACAAATCTGGAAATGATCTATATGACTGACAAATATTAATATACTTTAAGAAAATTATGAATAAATTTTAATTTTATTACACATTTAATTTATTCAATTATTTAAAAATTCCAGAAATAGGAATTTCTAGCTAAGAACCGAATCTCAAACCAAAGCAATGATTAAGCCTTTATATTATGGTTATCTGATCATTCACAAGCATATCAATCATATTCAAATAGCCCCATGCTTTTCTACATATAAGAATCGTTTTTTAGGGAATTCGATTCCTTTAAAATTTATTGTTTTATATGACTAAGCTAAATCAAACTGCTTGAGATATTAACTCACTATATGCAGAGTATCCCATAGTCAACCGCATTCGAGTGCATTCTTATTCATATTTATGTTTTTCAAATATTTTTTGAATGTAGTCAGTCCTGGTGTTCGTCTACAATTTGTCAGAGCTTTTTCAATTGTCATCCTATTTGTGTCTTTATTCGGTAGCTTTTGATGTCAAAGTCAAACCATTGTCAAATTTGCTTTGATAGCATAGCACTGGGTCCTACCCCTAAGGCAATGAGACGTCGAGATCTCGCCCCGACCCTCGCCAACACTTCCAATCAAATGCCAACAACACAAATAAAACTCTCCCGAAAAATAAGAAAAATCAATGCGACAAACTCGTGATATGTGGGTGTGAAGAAAAGTGAAAGTGCCCCTGGATCCATACGAAAGCCACCCCCGAAAGGGAAAAAATAACACACCCCACATATGTATGACATGCATGCTATGCTCATCTCACTCTCTCTTTCTCCTCTCGCTCTCACTCACTCCGGCTCTATATCTTATTCTCTATCTATAATCATGTGTGTGCTTCAGCTGCCCGTTCGGCTTTCTGCCTTTGATATTTAAGCATTTCCGCCATCTTGAGGATGGTTGGGGGCCAAGGGGGTGATTTTAGCCACATGGAAGGTTTATAAGAGAGTGTGCTTAAAAGGAAAACTACGCCACTTCAAAACGAACCGTTTTTCGTATGAAAAAGCAAATCGGGTTTGGACGGCTCAGTTAGTTTGGGCCCGACTTCAAAGCGGTTTTACATTTCGCCAATATTCTCGCGCTTTTGTGGCTTCCCTCAGCGGCGTTCTTTTGACTTATTCCAACTTCTCTCACTGTGGCCGTTGACTTTGACTGGTCGTCAGTCGGCCGCTACTAAATGGAATTATTTCACTTATTACTCTGAACAGTGAAAGTACTACCCTGGAATTTCGCGTGTTCAGTTGACATTTGCCCCGTCTAACATGTTCACACACACACATCTAGGGGCGGCTACCTTTTTATGAGAGCAGTTATTTTGGAAAATACCTTATTAAAGATTATTTTTTGGTAATTCCCTCGAAGGCGCGGCAACGTTCCTAACGTGCTGATAAGTATAACGTGCCACTGCTATAGATTTACGTTTACGCGAAAAACGTTATATTCAGCATATATGTATATTATTGTAGTTTTTAGCTACAAGCCTTACAATAGAAGATACTTCTTATCCCTGTGGAAGCTCTAATCTTTATTTTCTTTATATGTGTAGGTAAGCCTTAGCTATTTAACTGAATCGTGATCATGGCTCTACTTCAGACTTCGAATATACTATCTCTCCTACTCTTGTGTGTAGATTATGTCTACTAATTGATTATTATAAATATAGAAACATATTTCTAAAAATTAATTCCCTTACTGTTGTACATACTAAATATACATATATTTCTAATACTTATGTAAATACAATAAAACATTTTGAGACATATCAATAGAAAGCATTCCCTTACTGTAATGAATATAATGACTAACTATATGTATATCGCATTTACTCTTCAATTATTTTATATTTTAATGGATATATATAAAAGTTCAATTCTTTACCGTCGTATATACCAAGTATCTACTACTTAAGCAATAGAAATGAGTCATTTTGAAACATACAAATTCGGTGCGTTCCTGTAGTATATAAAATATACATTCCACATATTATAATTATGAAAAGATGTAAGCAGAAATTCATTTCTATCGATTCTCTGACTTGAATTCGAAAATTAATCATTTGATAACTAGCACGTTAGCCGGTTGTTGACCGGCAGTGCCATATAATCGTATAAAAAATGTTATTTGGCTTTTATTCAGAGCCAAGTTTTTGTTAATTCCGTTCTGACGGCCTTTAATTGTTTGTCGTCGTGTGTTTAGGTTTCTTAGACTGAGACGGTTGTCTGGCACGTCTAACGGACTTGCCCACTGAGAGCTGTGTGCATGGGTGTGTGTATATGTGTGTGCGTGTGTTTCTAATGTATGTCACGTGACAAAATTGTATAATTTCCAAACAGGCAGCGGACCGCACGTCGCCCATTGTGACATTTCCGGTTAATTTGGCGCCAGCTTAGACGGGCCTGTTGACCGTTGGCTGTAGACCGGGACAGGGATAGGGACAGGGACTGGGCCACTGATTGGAGTTGGGATCTGCGACAACGAAAGCGTTTCTCAGGCTATGGCTACCTCGGCTGGTGCCACACATTTTTGACACTTGGCCAAGCAAATCACAAGCAAAATAAAAACGACAGACCTTTCCCTTTTGCTGGTAGTGCTGCAAAATGCAATTACCTTTCCCTCTAGCTGGCCGTAAAGTAACTCGACAAAGTCGTAACTTACTTTTCCTTTCATTTTGTGCCCACAAGCGAGCACAGCGAACGCAAAGATCAATGCCAGTCGAGTCAGTTGGTCCGATAGCCAGAAATTAGTAAGTGCAACTAAGCAACCAGGGCGCCCACTCACAAACCACTCACCTGGCGCTGCTGCTTGTGGAAGTGATGGCTGGTGTTGCAGTAGTAGTAGTAGTTGTAGTAGTAGTCGTAGTAGTGGTGGTGCTGGTAGTGGGGCAAGCTGGCCCCCTCTCTCTCTCTTTCTCACTCTGTCTCGCTCACTCTCGTTCAATCGTTCATTCTCCCAGTGAGCAGCAAGAGCAGCAGCTATGCCATGAGTAACTGACATTAATTCAAATTGTTAATTCATGCCTGTCACGCTTTGGTACAGCGGTGTCCCCACAACACATTTCCTATAGACTCGACTGCGGTTCGCTCTCTGTGTGTGGTGATTGTGTTGACGGCTACAGCTTGTTGTTACTGTCGCTCTTGTTGTTGTTTGTTATTGTTATTGGTGCTTTTGCTTTTGCTATTTCTGTTGTTACTTTTGTTGCTAATCCAGATCAGTGACCAGTTCCACTTAGTAGGTACACTTCAATGGGGCAGCACCGTCGACCCTCTACGAAACTACGACGCTGGCCCCCCAAGTCAATAAGAAGTTAATTAAATTATGCGACTTCAACTTAATTACAAGCCATGGCTTGCTTCCACTTCCTCTCTGCTCGCCCCCACGCATTTCGTTCTCAATTGGGAAATTAGGCGCATTCCTTTGGGGTTTCGTTAGAGAATTAGAGAGTTAATCGACCAACCGATGCTATGCGCTTTGCTTATCGACATGGTATCGGTATCGATTTCGCTGCGATTCGATTCGCTTCGGTTCCGAGACAAGTTCGAAATGAAAGTTGTTTCTAGAAGTTGTTTCTCGTTTATTATTCTTACATCAACAATCGCATCGCAAGTGCTGCGATTTGCTTCGCTTTTGTTGTAACGCAGCGCTATTTTGGCTGCTGCAGAGCGAGACGGCATGCATCTAATATGATAGCTCCTCAGAATACTCTGAGGCCAAGAAATATCTGCTGATATAACTATCTACATATGTATGTATTTATGCATTCATACACATATTCGCATGCATACATACATACATATGTATGTTCGTTTATTCATTTATTCGCTTCCATTTGCTGCCAAACAATATTGTATATGTGCATGGCTTGACTTTTTTAATAACATTTTAAATGCCACGGCATTTATTACCATATTTTGCTAGTCATGTTTTTCTTTTTATAACTTTATAAAGCGCGCGAAAAAATACATTTATTCATATACATATGTACATACTTACATACGTGCCTAAAGTCTATGTGAATAGATATGCAAGTGTGTGTGTGTGTTTGTCTAAACAGATTTTATAATTGCAACGTTTAGATCCAACAACAAATGTAAGTGCCAAATGAGTCAAGTCTGTGATGGCATTCATATGCAT